CCGCCCTGATGCGAAACTTGCATATGCGAATTAAATTTAAAATTTTCAAAGCCGACAAAATGTCCAAAAAATAATCCCCTGTTTGAGTTTCATTTTTCTTTAAAAATATTATTTTTTAACAGTCAACGCTTGTGATGGTCTCTGAAAAACTATTCTTTTCAAAATGGTACCTGAAAAATATTCTTAAACAAATGCATTACTGTCATGGTCTCTGAGTATTTAAAAAAACCTCGCCTGTAATTGTCCCTGAAAAATATTCATTAAACAATCCACACTTAGGGGTCCCTGAAACACATTATTTAAACAATCCACTGTGGTGGTCCTTAAAAATATCCACGACTGTAACGGTTTCTGAGAAATATATTTACAGACATCATCGACTGAGGTGGTCCCTGAATAAACATTCTATAAAAAATAAAGGCCATTATTGGTGCCAAAAAATAGTTCTATAAAAATGCCACAATCCACGCCAGTGGTGGTCCTGGAAAAACATTGTTTAAACATTCAATGCCTGTGGTTGTCCTATAAAAATATTGTTTAAAATTCAATGCCTATGGTTGTCCTTTAAAAATATTCTTTAAACAATCCACACCTGTGGTGGTCCTTGAAAAATATTATTTCATATTCTAATAGGGTCTAAAAAATTCTTTGAAATTTCCACGCCTGTGATGGTCTCTAATATATATTCTTTGAAAAAATCCAGGCCTTCAATGATCCCTAAAACATATTCTTTAAACTATCCATGCATGCAATGACACCTGAACATTCTCATTAAAAAATCCATGCATTTAATGACCTCCGAAATGGTCCCTGAAATATATTCCTCAACAAATCTTGGCTTGTAATGGTACCGAATGTAAGAAAAATTCCGTGTATAAAAAATCTACAGTATATAAAATGGTACCGGAAAATATTATTTAAAAAAATATAGGCATTTTATGGTTTTAGAAACAAATTCTAATAAATCCAGATTAGTCTTTGAAAAATTAGGGTTTCTCATCCCCTGCATGTATTTATGTCCAATATTTAGTAAAATAACAAATCAATTTTATTTTGTTAATAACAACATTTTTATTAACTAATTATATAACAAGGACAACTTAGGCTTCAGGGGCAACGGGTAAATGGGCACCTTGGGGTTGGAAACCATTTTCATCAGCAACATAGGTGACGGTGTAGGTTTGGCCATCATCGGCGACGAAGGAGTAGGAACCACGGACAGCAAGGGCTTCGACTTCAGTACCAACATTTTTCAATTCACCTTCAGCTTGAACATTGCTGCCATCACTGGTTTCGGAACTGTTGGAACGAAAAATTATTTTTAGTTAAATATGCCAATTCTCTCGAGTGATTAAATTAAATTATAATTTTTAGTTTAAATTATTTATTTAAATTTTTTGTTTTGGTTTACTACTTACACATATTTGAAAGATTCAGGACCAACTTCAGATTCGCTTCTGACAATTTCAACATCGGCAGGGGCGGCCAAAGCCAAGGCGAAGAGAGCAGCGAAAACAATGATGAATTTCATGGTGTCGGTTTGTTGAGTTACTACAGCTGAGTGATACAATTCGACTAGTGTCGTTTACAATTTATACCAATTTTGTGATTCTAAATATTTTACATATTTTTAAATTTAAAATTTATATTCCACGGGTCAACTGCTTGTGTAATGAGTAGAACCATCACTATTGTTGTATAGAGTTGGGTCAAGTTTGAAACCAGAATGAAACCTGATCAGTAATTTGCATTTTAAAGAGTATACGGTTTTTGATCAATATTCGTGCAGAAAAAAAAGAAACAAAAATTATTCATTACTAGCGGGCCCGGCAAACGTTGTCTTGCCTAACAATATTGTTGATGTATAATTTTCGGCAGTTTAGGTTGTTTTTATACCCTCCATCATAAGGTGATTTGTATATATTTTTGTAACATCTTGATATTTATCAGAGCACACATAGGGTAACATTACAAAACTGAATTTGATGTTTATGAGTGAGTTTTGTTGCTCCCTCCACGATTTAAGATATAAATTTTATATTTGCACATACATTTGTATTACTCATAAGATGGCTTAGCGTTGTCCTGGTGAAACACGACACCTCCCCTGTTGGCCAATTCTGGTCAATTGCTATCTTCAAACGGTACAGTTGTTGGCAGTAGAGATCAGAATTTAGCGTTTGGCCATATGAAAGCAACTCATAATATACAATCCCCTTCCAGTCCCACCAAATGCATAGCCGAACCTTCCTGGTCGTTAGTCCTGGTTTGGTCACCGTTTGAGGTGCTTCACCGCTCTTTGACCACAATCTTTTTTGCATAGGGTTATCGTATGTGATCCATTTCTCATTTCCAGTCACCATCCGTTTATAAAAATTAGAGTATCTCATTCCGTTTGGTCAAGGCTTCGCAGATGGAAATTCGATCCATTCCATTTTTTCTGTTAATTGGTGAGGCACCCAAAAATTGAGCTTCTTTTTGAATCCAGCTTTGTCTGAATGGTTTAATTTTTAGCTCCTGGACGATGTTACGACATACCTGTAAAATTCGATCGTTCCACCGGTCTAATGGATTTCTTTTTCCCAAACCTAATATTAGGGATACTTATTGGGCAGAAATTCTCCCTAATTAGAATTTTCCATATTGACTCAAGTATTCGGATATCCCCATTTAACGGCATTCCTTAATATCCGGTATTTGGCTGCAATGTTATGTTCGCCCAAGCTTTCAAATATCCCCCATGTAATAGTAATCCACCTTTTTCGATACTGTGGGGGATTTGGGCACGTTTGGTTGTGTATTCGGTAGAATGAATCGTACTGAAATTGTCAATATTGGTTAAATCTTTAGGGTACCCACAATATTCGGTACTTTGAGGAGTTCGGTATTTTAGGGAGTGTTTCAGCCGAAGTGCTGTAATGTTTTATTTTGGATGAAGAAAACCTGTTTACAAAAAATTATCAATATTGGTGCAAATTGGTCCGGGTAGCCCTATATATTGATATACATATAATGATATACTCTTATTGTTCGGTATTTTCTCATGTGGTATTAGTATATATCCATACCCATTGTAGTATCGTATGTCATTCATATCATATATCATTCCGTGATATTGAAAGGGTAAAACACATTTGCGGAAACATTTCTATTCAGGACCAAATTTTGTATAGCTCCTACATACGGGTCCCACGCCATTTTCGGTTTTGTAAAGAATTTGACGGAATGGATGGATCATGGATTTGGCTTAATGTAATAAAAAGGCGCAATACATATTTCCCGTTTAATTTTCAGTATGTTGAAGTTCTTACCCCCCGTTTTCCACCATATAATGGTACATTTTAGGTACTTCAATAACAACATGTTCCTATGTTCCTATTATTATTATTTTCAAGAAGAATAATCTAGGGCATGTGTCTTAGAATCAGAACTCTTTTCTGAATCTTCAGATTTTCATCCTTGCATTTGTCCCAAAATATACGTGAATTTCATGGAAGACGTGTACATACAATGATCGCGTATACTTCTCAATTATTGTTTTGCATTCTTAGAAAAAAAGTTTCATTACAATGTCAATTGAATAAAATAAAATATTTTGAAAATTTTCAATATTTGAAAAATGAATATTTGTTTTCAAAATATTTTTTTTTTCATAATATTTTTTTTTTGCAAATTTTTTGCGGTTTTTAAACCTTCCCTGAAGCTCCACGAACATTTCAAGACTAAGATCAGAAAAATCCGTTCAGCCGTTCTCGAGTTTTAGCGAGACTAACGAACAGCAATTCATTTTTATATATATAGATATCTTTATAATTATCAGTGTTTATCCATTTAGTCACCATGCCCATAACATAGTTCTTACCAACTATGGTAATTGTCACAGAGCATAGATAAATTACTAGTGGAAAATTTACAATGATATAGCCTCCATGTTACAGTTCCGAACGTAGCTACTCCTATACTTGTTATACCCTTCACCACACTGTGGTACAGGGTATTATGTCTTTGTGCATATGTTTGTAACAGGCAAAAGGAATCGAGATAGACCCATGGTTCCTTTTGAGAATATGCATAGAATCACTTTCTGAGTCGATTTATGCATGTCCGTCCGTCCGTCCCTCTGTCCGTCCGTCTGTAGATGTTAAATTGTAAACAAAGTACAGGTCGCATTTATGATCCGATTTGTTTTTTTTATAATTTTGGTGGCTTAAAAATAGCCGACAAAATGTACAAAAAAACAATCGCCTGTTTTGGTTTCATTTGTTCTTTAAAAATATTATTTTTTAACAGTCAACGCTTGTGATGGTCTCTGAAAAACTATTCTTTTAAAAATGGTACCTGAAATATATTCTTAAACAAATGCATTACTGTCATGGTTACTGAAAGAGTATTTTTCAAAATAAAAAACCCACGCCTGTAATTGTCCCTGAAAAATATTCATTAAACAATCCACACTTAGGGGTCCCTGAAACATATTATTTAAACAATCCACTGTGGTGGTCCTTGAAAATATCCACGACTTTGAAATATCCACGCCTGTGATGGTCTCTAATATATATTCTTTGAAAAAATCCAGGCCCTTAATGATCCCTGAAACATATTCTTTAAACTATACATGCATGCAATGACACCTGAATATTCTCATTAAAAAATTCACGCCAGTAATGATCTCCGAAATGGTCCCTGAAAAATATTCCTCAAAAAATCCAGGCATGTAATGGTACTGAATGTAAGGAAAATTTCGTGTATAAAAAATCTACGACAGTGATGGTACAGTAAAATATTATTGAAAAGAATATAGGCATTTTTTGGTTTTGAGAAACAAAATCTATTAAATCCAGATTATAAAAAAAATTCACGCTTTCCTATACAAAATATATTATTTTGTTTCTCATCCCCTGCATGTATGTAAGTCCAATATTTAGTAAAATAACAAATAATTTCTTTTTTAAAACAAAACTTTTTTATTAACTAATTAAATAACAAGGAAAACTTAGGCTTCAGGGGCGACGCGTCGCGACGGGCAAATGGGCACCTTGGGGTTGAAAACCATTTTCATCAGCAACATAGGTGACGGTGTATGTTTGGCCATCATCAGCAACGAAGGAGTAGGAACCACGGACAGCAAGGGCTTCGACTTCAGTACCAACATTTTTCAATTCACCTTCAGCTTGAAGATTTCTGGCATCTCTAGTTTCGGCACTGTTAGAAGGAAGGACAAATTATTTTTAGTTAAACACGCCAATTCTCTCCAGTGATTAGATTAAATTATAATTTTTAGTTTAAATTATTTACTTCTATTTTTTGGTTTACTACTTACACATATTTGAATGCTTCATGACCCACTTCACGGCATAGGCGGCCAACTTCAAGGCGACGAGGACTACGATAAAAATGATGAATTTCATGGTGTCGGTTTGTGGAGCTACTACAGCTGAGTAATACAATTCGACGAGTGGCGTTTACAATTTATACCAATTTGTGCTGCTTGTGTAATGAGTAGAACCATCACTACTGTTGTATAGAGTTGGGTCAAGTTTGAAAACCAGAATGAAACCCGACCAGTAATTTGCATTCATGTTACAGTTCCGAACGTAACTATTCCTATACTTGTTTTTTATAATTTTGGTGGCTTAAAAATAACCGACAAAATGTCCAAAAAAATACCCTGTTTTGGTTTCATTTGTACTTTAAAATATTATTTTTAACAGTCAACGCTTGTGATGGTCTCTGTGAAGCTATTCTTTTAAAAATTTTACCTGAAAAATATTCTTAATCAAATGCATTCCTGCCATTGTCACTGAAAGAGTATGTTTCAAAATAAAAAAACCAACGCCTGTAATTGTCCCTGAACATTCAATGCCTGTGGTTGTCCTTAAAAAATATTCTTTAAACTATCCACACCTGAAAAATATTCTTTACTGTAATGGTGTCTAAAAAATGCTTTGAAATATCCACGCCTGTGATGGTCTCTAATATATATTCTTTGCAAATATTCAGGCGTTTAATCTTTAAACTATCCTTGCTTGCAATAACACCTGAAAATTCTCATTAAAAAAATCACGCCTGTAATGACATCCGAAATAGTCCCTGAAAAATATTCCTCAAAAAATCCAGGCCTGTAATGGTACCGAATGTAAGAAAAATTTCGAGAAAAAATTATTTTACAAAGTCTTTAAAAAATCTACGGCATTTTTTTGTTTGATTTTGAGAGAAATATTCTAATAAATCCAGATTTGTCTTTAAAAAATGCACGCTTTCCTATAGATAATATATTTTTTATTTCTCATTCCCTGTATTTTTGTCCAATATTTAGTAAAATAACAAATCAATATTTTTTGTTAAAAACAAATCGTTTTTTTTATTAACTAATTAAATAACAATGAAAACTTAGGCTTCAGGGGCGACGGGCAAATGGGCACCTTGGGGTTGGAAACCATTTTCATCAGCAACATAGGTGACGGTGTAGGTTTGGCCATCATCGGCAACGAAGGAGTAGGAACCACGGACAGCAAGGGCTTCGACTTCAGTACCAACATTTTTCAATTCACCTTCAGCTTGAACATTGCTGCCATCACTGGTTTCGGAACTGTTGGAAGGTAGGAAGGACAAATTATTTTTAGTTAAATATGCCAATTCTCTCGAGTGATTAGATTAAATTATAATTTTTAGCTTTAATTATTTATTTAAATTTTTTTGTTTTGGTTTACTACTTACACATATTTGAAAGATTCAGGACCAACTTCAGATTCGCTTCTGACAATTTCAACATCGGCAGGGGCGGCCAAAGCCAAGGCGAAGAGAGCAGCGAAAACAATGATGAATTTCATGGTGTCGGTTTGTTGAGTTACTACAGCTGAGTGATACAATTTGACGAGTGGCCTTTACAATTTATACCAATTTGTGATTCTAAATATTTTACATATTTTCAAATTTAAAATTAATATTCGATGGGTCAACTGCTTAGGAAAATGTTTTTTTTTTTTTGTTTTAATCACACTCATAGATATTCCATCGAAAATATTTAAAATAGAATCAATGATTATTGAAACGCTGTAATAAATATTTAAAACAAATCTAGAGAATATTAAAAAAATACACCCTTTTTGATAATCATCAGAAAATATTTTTAAACCCCCCACTCTTATAGATAGTCTATATAAAGTATTAAAAAATCAACGCTTATTGATAGGCCGTGTAAATTATTTTTAAACCGGTGAGTAGAGCAGTATAGTCGAACGTGGCCGATCATATTATACCTTACACAACTACCACAGAGCTCTATCTTTCTGCGGATTTTTATTCCGAGCCTGGGCAATATTTCGATCCACTTCATCCCAAAATTATTATCTGATAATCACCGAAAATTATAGGCGTTGTCCTTGACCATAATTGGAACCTTCAAAGCACCTGTAAATATTTAAGTGTAACTCCCACATCCGAGTACCTACGACAATACAATTTAAACGCCAACCACTCCTCTTGGATATATTATCAACTTCTAGGCTCTATGTCCTTCAGGAGTAAATATATACGCTATAGAATAAAAATTTTGTACTTTTTCACTCAAAAGTCAGGTTTATTTGACCCGCTAAATTATGACCGATCTTTATCAAAACAGGCATGCTTATTCATTGGCCCAATCCATTTTTCCATGTAAAAATTCGGGAGGTTAGGGACATAATTGCGGCTCTAGAGCGACCAAGAAAAACGACAATAATTAAGTATTCGATCTTTACCAAAAACAATAGGAGTCTTCATTGAACAGAACCAAGCCTACACACATGTCTAGATCGACTCATCTAGACGAGATACAAATACACGCCTATTGATAGTCCTTAGAAATTATTTGTAAAGCAATAGCGCTTATTGATGGTCCTTAGAAAATATTTAAAAATATTCTGATAGACCATAGGTCATATTTTTTTTAAATCCACGCTTATTGATAGCCATTAGAAAATATTTTTAAAAAAATCGAACTTATTAGAAAGTCTTGCGAAAACATTTTGAGGAATCGCCGCTTATTGATAGTCCCGAGAAAATCCAAGCCAATTGATAATGCTTGGAAAATATGTTTAGAGTAATCCACTCTTTTAGGTAATTCTTAGAAAATATTTTTAAAATATGTACGCTTATTGATATTCATTCGATTGTTTTTAAATCCATGCTTAGTCTCTAAAATATTTTTAAAAAATCTTTTTCTTCTTCTTAATAGTCCTTAGAAAAAAATTGATAACTCAATTTAAAAAATCACGATTTAGTTTTTTTAAATCATATTCATAAAAACATTTTTTTAATCAGGCTTAAACAAATTTCTAAAAATCCGTATGGATAGTCCTTTAAAAAACTCTTTTAAAAATCCACTCATTTTTATTTTCACAAAATATTCCTTTAATAAAACCTCAAAAATTTACTGATGTTTAAAAATATAACAAAAAAATTATTTTATAAAGAAAATACTAGACAAAAACATTCAATAACAAGATTTCAATAACGATTAAAACAAAAATGATTCTATAATTAATTCGGCACTGCCACCAATCTCGGCTTAAGAAATTTGTTTGAATGTTGGATGGTAACCAAATTCATCAGCCACAAAGGAAATTTCGTATTTTTTACCATCGGGAGCTGTCCAGCTGGTGGAGCCTTGCATTATAATGACCGAACCATCATCGGTGGTTTTCAGTTCACCAGCTTCCTGGCGGGAAATACCGTTACTGGTGTCATAGCTGTAAAACGAAATTGAAATTAGTATCCTCGAAGTGCCGTTATGATGTTGTTGCTGTTGTTGGAAACTTACGCAAAATTGTATTTATCCACACCATTATTTTCGACTTCTTGGCGTAGAATTTGGGCATCATGTTCATCATGATCAGCATCTTGGGGAGCAGCAATGGCTGCAGCTACCAAACAGAACAGCAAGACAATTGAGAATTTCATTTTTTTTTGTTTTATTTGAAAAAGGGTTGAAAATTTAAAAAATATATTTTTTCGAGGAGCTGTTGTTTCTATTACAAGCCGATTACACTTGACTGATACCAAATACCTCGACACCCTCTCAATTTATAACAAAAATGAATTGAAGCTACAAAATACTTATTTTTAAAATTTTTTTTGGCAGGTAATATTAAATATGTCCTCTTATCATTGTAATCTTTTATCTTTAACAGCAAAAAATTTATATCATTTTTTATTTTATTATTTTTGTAAAAAAATAGAAAAAAAAACAACGAAGTACTCGTGTACATCTTTACCACGACAAATTTATTACCAAATTTATTAAACCCATAAAAAATGGGTTTAAAAAATTCACAATTATTGATAGTCTTTAAAAAATATGCATATAATTTTAAATCTCCGCATATATTATATATAGTACTATTTAGTTTTTTAAAAAATCTACTCTTTATACCCTTCACCACACTGTGGTACAGGGTATTATGTCTTTGTACATATGTTTGTAACATGCAAAAGGAATCGAGATAGACATATGATTCCTTTTGAGAATATGCATAGAATTTTAAGTCGATTTATGCGTGTTCGTCCGTACCGTCCGTCCGTTTGTCCATATGTCTGTCCATGTTAAATTGTAAACAAAGTACATGTCGCATTTATGTTTGGCTTAAGAACGAACCCTATTGAAATTGGAAAAAATCGGTTCAGATTTAGATATAGGTCCCATATATATTTTCGTCCCATTTTAGGTCAATGGTGTACCAAAGTACCTATATATCTTTCGATTTGGACGAAATTTGGCATAGCGTACTAAATTAAGTCTAGAACAAATTGTACCAAATTTCGTGAAAATCGGTTCAGATTTAGATATAGCTCTTATATATATTTTCGTCCGATTTTAGGTAAATAGTGCACAAAAGTTACTTTATATCTTTCGATTTGCACGAAATTTGGCACAGCGAACTGAATTGAGTCCACAATGATGAGTGGTAAGTTTCGGGAAAATCGGTTCAGATTTAGATATAGCTCAAATATGTATTTTCGTCCGATTTTATGTAAATGGTGCACCAAAGTTCCTAATTTTCAGTATTTTGGCGGTTTTAGTCATATTTTTCTATTTTGATTTCCTAATAGGTTCCAAATCTCTCCACGAAAAATTATGAATATAGGTCCATTTTTTCGGATAGCCCCTATATAATGGTACCCCCCCCCCCCAATTTTCGATATTTTGGGGTTCTTAAACGCATTTTCAACTGAATTCGTTGAAATTTTGTACAATCGGTTTTTATTGGGTATCAAATTGCGCCACTAAAAAATATAAATATAATTCCTTTTTTTCGGGTAGCCACAATATAAGGGTACCCCCAATTTTCGGTATTTTGGGGATCTTGAGAGCGTTTTTCAACGCAATTCGCTGCAATTTGGTATTTTGTAAACGCATATGGTAACAAATCTCGCAACCAGTCATTATTTATATTCGCCCCCCTTTTGGGGGTAATCCCCATTTAACCACCTTTTTATACCCTTCATACATGGTTCCTTTTCGATTTATGCATGTCCGTCTGTCTGTCCATGTTAAATTGTAAACAAAGTAAAGGTCGTTTTTATGATCCGAATTGGATGAAATTTGGCATAGGCACTTATTTGGCCCAGGGACGAACCCTGAATTGAGTCTAGAATGATGAGTGGTAAGTTTCGTGAAAATCGGTTCATATTTACATATACCTTCCATTTATATTTTCGTCCGATTTAATGTGAATGTTGTACCAAAGTCCCTGTATATATGTCGATTTGGACGACGTTTGGCATAGCGTAATGAATTAAGCATATGTGTATAAAGTTTCGTGAAAATCGGTTCAGATTTAGATATAGCTCTCATATATATTTTCGTCCGATTTAATGTAAATGGTGCAACAAAGTCCCTATATTTCATCCGATTTGCACAAATTGATTAATCCCATTTTACCCAAACGACTCTAAATCTGCCCGATTGAAATGAAATTTAGTCTAATTTGTCATGTGTATGGATTGATATTAGACGGTTCACTTATAGATAAAGATCACATATTTAAGTTCGTTTAATTTCATGTTGGGATACATATGTAGAATATACCCAAAGTGGTGAAGGGTATCATATAGTCCGACTTTACTACTCTCCTTACTGGTTTTAAAATTGCATTAAAGTCTATTTTTATATGCACTTTTATTCCTGATTGCCCTTGCAAGCATTTATAAGAAAGAAGCTTTGCTTTCTGCTTCGTAAAAATATATCCTTTTAAACAATCCACTCTTTTTTACCTTCACAAAATATTCCTTTAAATAGCAACTCGAATATTTATTGATATTTAAAAATATAACAAAAAATTTATTTAATAAAGAAAATACTAGACAAAAAAATTTCAATAACGATTAAAACAAAAATGATTCTATATTTCTTTCGGCACTGCCACCAATCTCGGCTTAAGAAAGTTGTTTGAATGTTGGATGGTAACCGAATTCATCAGCCACAAAGGAAATTTCGTATTTTTTACCATCGGGAGCTGTCCAGCTGGTGGAGCCATGCATTATAATGGCCGAACCATCATCGGTTGTTTTCAGTTCACCAGCTTCCTGGCGGGAAATACCGTTACTGGTGTCATAGCTATAAAATAAATTAGGAATTAGTATCCTCTGAATGCGGTTGTGTTTTCGTTGTTGTTGGAAACTTACGCAAAATTGTATTTATCCACACCATTATTATCGACTTCCTGGCGTAGAATTTGGGCACCATGTTCATCATGTTCAGCCTCTTGGGGAGCAGCAATGGCGACAGCAACCAAACAGAACAGCAAGGCAATTGAGAATTTCATTTTCTTTTCTTTATTTAAAAAGAAGGATTTGAAACTTTAAAAGATAAATATTTTTCGAAGAGATGTTGTTGCTATTACAAGCCGATAACACTTGACTGATACCAAATACCACGACACCCTCTCAATTTATACCAAAAATGAATTAAATCTAAAAAATACGTATTTTTTTACTTTTTTTAGCAGGTAATATTAAATATGTCCTCGTATCATTATAATCTTTTACCTTTAACAGCAAAAAAATTAATATCATTTTTTATTTTATTATTTTTGTAAAAAAATAAATAAACAACAACGAAGTACTCGTGTACATCTTTAGCCACCAACAACAACAACATCAACAACGAATTTATTACCAAACTCGGTACCATCAATGAAAGATTCACGCAATCACCTTTAGTTGACATAAACGGCCAATGACTCCTGCGTAATCCATTCAACCTAACATTGAATAATAATCGAATTGCAAAACTGTACTTGGGTACGTGTTTGTGTTTTTAATACATTTTAAAAATATATGTTAATTTTATTTTGCAATTAGCTAATTTTTTATTAGAATATGTTTTATACACATGTATTTACGTGTACCCTACATAGTAAAGGCAAAGCGCGAACTTGAAATTTTTTAAATATTTCTTTAAGGACTATTAACACGAATGGTTTTGTATAAAATATTTGTCTATGGACTTTCAAAATTTGTCTAATGACTAACAATAGTCATAGATTTTTTTGAAAAATTGTGTTTTGAAGGCTATCAATAAACATGATTTTTTTAAATAATTTGATAAGGACTATCAATAGACTAAGGACTATCAATAAGGGCGGATTTTTTAGATATGTTTTCTAAGGACTATCAATAAGAGTGGATTTTTTAAATACGTTTTCTAAAGATTATTTATTTTTTTCAAAACTATTATAATGCCTACCAATAAGCGTGGATTTTGAAGCGTGATTTTTCCAAAATTATTTTCATGCCTATCAATACGTGTGGATATTAATTTTTTTTTATTTTTTGGACGGACCATTAAGTCGTGAATTTTTAAATTATTACAATTTGGAGGGACCATATAGGCGTGCATTTTTAAGAAATATATACTTTAAGGGACCTTGAAAGCGTGGATTTTGAAGAAATATATTTTTTGAAGGCGTGAATTTTTAAATTCATATTTTCTAAGGGACCCTTAAGGCGTGGATTTTTAAATTCATATTGTTTTATGGGATCCTTAAGGCGTGGATTTTTAAATTCATATTGTTTTATGGGATCCTTAAGGCGTGGATTTTTAAATTCAATAAAAAAGATTATGAAAAAATGTTTTTAATGCGTATAAGTGTGAACTTTTTATACCCTACGCAACTATGTTGTCAGGGTATTAAAGCTTTGTGCAGCCCCAAGAGTTTGTAACGCAGCGAAATATTGGCCCTAGACCCAGCTTTAAGTATACTGATCGTCATATCTCGACTAGCTGAGTCGATCTATACATATGTGTCCGTCCGTCTGTCCATTATAATTTGTAAATACGATACAGGCCGCAGTTATGGACCAATCTTCACGAAAATTTGCATTTAGGATGGGTTCTGTCCAATGAAGACCCCTATTGTTTTTTGGAAAGATCGATTAATATTTAGTGGATGAAATGGACCCAAAACTTTATTCTTGTCCGATTTTCTGGTCGCTCAAGAGGCCGCAATTATGGCCAAACATCGCGAATTTTTGCATGGAGAAGGGGATCGGGCCAAAGAATAAGCGTGCCTGTTTTGATAAAGACCGGTCAATATTTGGCGGGTCAAATGGACCCTGACATTTGTGTGAAAAATGACAAAATTTGTATTTTATATCGTATATATTTACCCCTAAAGGACATAGACCCGAGAAGTTGGTAGTATATCCAAGAGGAGTGGTTGACCTTTAAATTGACACCAGTTATATTGTCGTATGTACTCGGATGTGAGAGTAACACCTAAATATTTTTGCAGGTTCTTACGTATTCATATGTTATTTAGTAACGCATTACCACACTAGAGCGCTGATCGCTTTGAAATTATCCATAACGATCCATGTATGGTCAAAGACAACGCCTATAATTTTCGGAGATGATCAGATAATAATATTGGAATGAAGTAGACCGAAAAGTTAATTTT